GTCAACCGCAACATCCTTCAAAAGTCTGTTATGTTGTTTAGAAAACCTTATCCATGCGCAGTATCTGACCCCTGTGTTCAATATTTATAACATATATTAAGAGAAATGAGAGAAGCAAGGAAGGGCGAGTATGTTTTATGAAAGCCAGGTTGGTATAGCAGGTCCACATCAGCTGATAGCTGCCGATGCAACTATTACTTTGTAATTTTTGTAATTTTTTACCTGCTACATCAAATAAAGAATTGATTGATTGATTGATTGAAATAAAAACAAAACCATCGTACCTCAAGCATTTTTCTTAATAGTAGGGCTCCCACGTGCGCTTCACAGGCATGGGGTAGAGCCCCATACCCCTAGAATATGGTCAACCTCTTTCCATTTGGTTGCCACGTACGTACGTGCCCTCAGATTGCACGGGTAGGGTAGGGGAGACTATCAAAACGAAGGGAGGGGTGACTCAGGCGAGTCTTGGCAAATGCACATCTTTTATGTTATCATTAATATTACGAACTTGGGAGCTCCGCTTTTAGGCTTGGCTAAATCTATATATTATTCCTCATTGACGCTGCCAGCTTTACGATAAGAGTACTATTATCAGTATGTTGTTAATTCACTTTCACATATTCTCAACGTTGAAGACTTCTCTGAAGCAGACCAATGCCGTCAGTTGAAATTCCCGTCTGAAAAAGCATTTGACAGCAAACGCTTCATTAACCACGGGATCCGCACCATTGAGGTCATGGTCATGGAGTTCTGTAAAACCATGTGTTATATGGAGCCCAACTGTGTCAGCATTAATATTGACAAACGAGCGGATGGAAATGGAAAGTACAAATGTGAATTGAATAATGTGACTCACGAAGGACACAAAGACGAACTGATAGAAGATGGACATTTTTCTTACCATGCAGCTGAGGTAAGTAAATTATCCATGCAACCTCATCAACAGTGTGGTGGACAGATAGAAATAGCAGGCCTACATGAATCGTGATCCTCCACATCTAAGCTTCGTAAACTTTATTTGGGAATTTTCTATCTCTAATGGCTATCATTACAAGTTACTCAGTGGTACGCCGCCACCTCAATAGTAATGATTGTATTACTAATAGGTTTACTTCTTTACCCTTTGGTCAGACCGCTTGTGTCAAAAACTCTTGCAAGAACAACGCCACTTGTCAAAGTGGTTTTACTGATGAAGGATATCGCTGTTTGTGTACTGTTGGATTTAAGGGTCAGACATGTGATAAAGGTAAATGTTCTTTCCATCTATCCTAACTGCTAGTTAAATACCTCTACGTGTATGAGTACAGTCGGAAATTTCATCGATACCCCTTCTTCTCCCTTATTGCATTTTTTTATTTTGTTATTCAGATATTGATGAATGCGCAACATCTAAGCACGACTGCAGTGCCAGTGCTGTGTGCATGAATACCAAGGGATCGTACAACTGTACATGTAAACCTGGATATTCTGGTGATGGACGCACTTGCAAAGGTGCATTCCATATATATGGTGCTGTTTCTTACTTTTAAATTAGAAAGAAGGGTATTCTAAAGGAGTTTCATTCCTCGATTCAACGGTCTCTATTTGCTTTGACTAACTTGTGTGTTATCTTTTCAGATGTTGATGAATGTGCCGTTGGGAATCACGACTGTGGTACCAATGCCGTATGCAACAACACCAAGGGATCGTACAATTGCACATGCAGGACTGATTATTGGGGAGATGGAAAGACGTGCATTAGAAAGGGTGGCCCGCTATGTAAGATGTACTTTTGCCTACCTTTTAGTCATTTGTAATGTTTCTAAGCGCAAGAACATTGTAACTTACATGTAGTTTCCAAAGGCGGACATAAACATAATTCTTAGAAAATTTGCAGACTTAGACGAATGAGTGGTATAAGTGCGAAAAAAGTCAGATATATGGTACAGAAACATACATTTAAATCTACTGCTATTTATAACAAACTATCGGTAGTTGGTAAAGCCATTGTACAATCAACTGCCAAAACCAGTATTAGTAGGTATTGCCATGTTTTGTTTGTAAAAGAGATTATTCATATTTGTATTTTTCTCTTTTACCTTTGTCTTGTAATATGTTTGGGAATTTAGTTTCCACCTGCAAGGAGGTTTATGACGGGCAAACGTAAGTTAATGTTTGATACAAGTTAACATTTCGACATCAAGGTGAAATCATATGATTAGATTATAGAAGGAAACGACTTATTTTTAATACCAATTTTTAATTTTGAACAACTGTTTTTGTCTTTTTTTTGTCCTTTTCCGTCAATTTTTGCAAAGGGTATTTCGATAAAAAAAAATGATTTTTTCCTCCTCAATCTCCTGTCACTAGTGTAGTGTGATATTTCAGGTAAGAAAGGCGCCGAAAAAGATTGTTTCATTTTGTTGTCACCCACGTTTTTACGAAATGTGCAGAATTGATTTTTCCATGATCAGATTCAAGAGTTTCGTCTATTTTGGCAGAATTTTAAATGTCATGACTCTACGTAATTACGTTTATTAATTACATTAATTACGTTTCTCGAAAACCCTGGTGACTTAGATTTTCGAGAAATGGCTTTTTTCGAGTTTAGTTTGGTGTTTTAATCTGTTACTTATGAATGGTAATGACCTACGAGTACATTCAGTGTAATCAATCCCTCTTTACAGATCGACTATGGATAAACTGGTGACTTTAATTATTGATTCAAAACCAGTCACCGTTCGTTGTTACAATGAAATTGATGGATGCGGAGATGGGGGATGGACACCGGTCATGAAAATCGATGGCAACGAGGTTTCAATTTTTTTTGTTTGTTATTAAGTACATCAACCTTTTTATAATACAAATTAATACCCGGTACCATCCAAAGTGAGGACTAAAAAGCATACATCTATGGATCAAGTATGTCTGTTTTGTTTGATTTGAACATTTGTAAGCTCGTTTACTTATTCATTTATGAATTGATTCATTTATTTATCTGTCCAATTATTCTTTTTCAGAATACCTTTCGCTATGACTCACATCATTGGACTGATAAAAAGGAATATAACTCTCCTGGCGGAAAGACTGCGTTTGACAACAAGGAAACTAAGCTACCGACTTACTGGAACACAAGCTTCTCTAAGATATGCCTAGGTATGAAATTTGGCCAACAGCTCAGTTTCGTTGTCTTGAACAAGGAGGCCGACTCTCTGTACTCACTGATCGCTGACGGACAATACCGCGCAACATCACTTGGCCGCGACACGTGGATGACGCTGATTGCTCCAGAGGGAAAATTACAGGACAATTGCAACAGGGAAGGGTTCAATGCTAAATCTAAAAGAAATACACACTCTAAAGCAAGGATTGGGATTCTTGGAAACAATGAGGATAATTGCGAAAGTTGTGACTCCAGAATTGGGTTTGGTACTTGGGGAAAACCTGATAACACCATCACGTGTGGAAATGCAGCCTCGGGGTACTTTGGGTGGAGAAATAATGGAGAATATATCCCAACAATGGGTTACATCTTGGTGCAGTAGGGAGGCACTACCCTGGAAAGAAACCACCAAATGATGAAATGGTGTTAATGGATACCTACGTCAGTTAGTAATTAGGATCGGAATAAACTAAAATAGATATGAGTATATTAGCGAATAAATAGACAACTAAATAGAAGTCGGAAAAACCGATGAGCCAGTTGATGATGTATTAATTGTCATTGTGTTAAGAATCGTGTCGACAAACAAGATGTTTCTTTAGTCTGTTAAAAGTAATTTACAAGCTTTCACAGATTATTTTTCTGGTCTTTGTCACAGTTTTTATCAATATTCGTAATTTCGATAACAAAGAGCACCCGGGTTAGTTTATTTGGAGTCATGTTCAGCTTCATGGTAAATTGCTACTCAATAAAAT